CGACCCTTTCACAGGGGTCGCCTAAGACCATCGGAAAACACATATTTTCGATGGTCTTAGGAACTGAGACACACTTGTTTATGGTTGGGGTCACCGCAACATGAGGAACTGTATTAAAGGGTCGCAGCATTGGGAAGGTGGAGAACCACTGCCCTAGAGTCAGGAATGACCTTTTACCTTTTACCAATTGCACAAGAGCAAGGTGTCAAACTCAATTTCGTTGAGGGCCGCATCAGGGTTGTGTTTGACCTCAGGGGCCCAGGTTTGTGTAGTGGGGGGTGGGCATGGTCGGGGTGGGCAGGGCCAACTTGATATCACTGGTATTGGAGGGCATCTGTGGTGGCCTGGTTTTTCGGCTACGGTGGCCTCCTGCAGCTCTCTGCCAGTGAAAACAGAGCTGGCAGAGGCACTGCGGGCCGGTCCTTCGCTGTTTCCAGATCTGGCCCATGGGCCTTGAATTTGACACCCCTGTACTAGAGAGAGAAATGGGAAAAGTGGGTATGTTGGGGTAATAAAATGTCTCTTGAAAATGGGGTTGGATTGGGATAATTTGCTTTCTTATTAAGGGATGGGCTATATCTGGGCTGAAAGGAACCAGTATTTTTTTTTACCCCTTTGTTGCTACCTAGTTAAATCATCCATGGTTTGGTAGTTCAGATATGGTGGTAATATTTCATGACTTGCAATGCTTGCGGTGGCAAAGATTTTATGAAAACACTACCCTGTCTCACGTGACAGCTGTGGGAAGGATCTCATTGCGAGTTTCAAAATTCAGATTGTAGCTGGTGGCCTTTGAGTTCTCCAGTAATAATTTGCTTCTATTCTACACTGGTAAGGTTGAAAGTACAATTCAGTTGTGGGTCTTTTAGAGAAATTGCTGGCAATCTAGAATATAGTTAGAGAGAAAAAAAAAACTAATGAGATCTGGTAACCAAATCTCAAATCCCCACAGGGAAAGCTAGAAATATGTTTACCCTGGACAGAAGAAGATTAAGGAGAAATAGCAGTTGAATAGATTTCTGCTCCAGAAACAAGGACTAAAATTCCAGGAGCAAAAAGTGGAAGGAAGCAGTCTATAGCTAAAAGGGCGGCTTGGGATTCATTAGCAAAAACTACTGTTCCTCAGCCCTGTCTGTGCAACATGAGGAAATAATGAAAATCTATTTAGGGATGTAATCCGATTAGGTAGCATTTATTTATTAATCATAAGGATGATTTTGATTTGTGTATAAATGGATCTAGGAATTTACTTTTTTTATTTACTTAAGGATTCACTTCATTTGCCTATGGTTAAAAATTATATTACTAAGGCAAGAAGCTCCTTTTTCATGACATCAAAATGCTTCTGCCTAAACCGTGTATCTTATTTTGCCTCACAGTAGCGCTGTATCTGTCAAGCTTTATTCTACATTTATCTACCTTGTCCTTTCATTAGCATCAGGACCTTTGTGTGTCTTCTGTGATTTGGGGAGCACCACATCTAGTCTGTTTAATAGATCTAGACTAGACTAGACTAGACTAGACTAGACTAGACTAGACTAGACTAGACTAGAC